CAGACTGATTCAGTCCATCGCCCCCCTACCCCAGTGGCCTCCCTACTAGGGGTTGCCTTGCAGCTTCTTGGTTCTGTAATACCTGAAGTTACAGCAATATTCATCCCTCAAGACCTTTAGGTCCCAGAACTCTGAAAATGTTAACAGTGCCGTCAGTAGTCATACCATTTTTTTTCTAAAGTTGTGGTAAAACACACATATCATAAAACTTACCTTCTTGATCATTATTTGCTAATTTATTTATTTGAGGCAAAGGGTACATGTGAGGATTTGTTATGTAAGTAAATTGCATGAAGGTGAGGTTTGGGCTTTTAACGAGTCCTCTCTCCCTGCCTTAACCATTTTCAAGAGTATAGTTCAGTGGTATTAAATACATTCATTACACTGTACTTCCATCACTGCCATCCATCTCCAAAACTCTCTTCCTCTTGTGAAATTGAAACCCTGTACCCATTAAACAATAACTTCCCATTCTCTCCAACCTCCCAACCCCTAGTAACCACCATTCTACTTTCTGTCTCTATAAATGTGACCATTTTGAAGACCTGTTCTATGTGGAATCACACAGTCGTTGTCTTTTCATGTTTATCTTGTTTCATTAAGTGTAATGTCCTCAGGGTTCATTCATGTTGGAGCCATCTCATTCTCATTTTTTTTTTTTTTTTTTTTGAGTTGGAGTCTCACTCTGTCACCCAGACTGGAGTGCAGTGGCACGCTCCAGGTCACCACAGCCTCGCCCTGCTGGGTTCTGGCGATCCTTCTGCCTCAGTCTTCCAAGTAGCCAGAACTACAGGCATGTGCTACCATGCCTAACTAATTTTTGATTTATTGTAGAGATGAGGTCTCACCAAGTTCCCCAGGCAGGTCTCGAACCCCTGGGCTCAGGCAATCCACTCACCTTGGCCTCCCAAAGTGCTGGGATTATAGGCTGAGCCTCCAAGCCCAGCCCATCTCATTCTTGATTTATTCTCTTCTCACTAAATAATGGAAAGTGCCATTCAGCTCATTTTCCTCTTTCAAGGAAACTAAGGTGGGAAACTAAGGCTAGGGGAGAAAAATATCTTCCCCAGGGACAAACAAGAACGCACAGGAGAGTGGGGAATGTTAGACCCCCGTTCTTGGCTTCCACCTGCAGCTTGTAGAGCAAAAGCAAAGTTTGGGAGTGTAGAGAGTCCCCTGATGCCTCCTGTGGCCTTGAACATGGCTCTTAACCTTCTTAGTCTCAGTTTACCCTTAGCTTAAGTGGATCTAATAAAAACTGGCTTTCTTTTCTCAAAGTTGTTGTAATGATCAAATGTGGTTTTTTAAAGTGCCTTTAGAAGTATAACACCCTGTGCAATAACAAAGGGTGGCTTGGAATCCAGTTTGCTAAATTATAACAGTAATTCATCTTGTTAAATCATGGCGGTATTCCTGACACAACAGTATACTATTAAAACATTGGGGTCAGGAAGCCATGAAGATGAAGGTAAAGGGTTGAGGGCAGACAGCATCTGGTCAGTTACTCTATACCAAGCATTATAGTCTTGCACCATAACCACTAAATGACTGTTTAGTTCATTCATTCATTCAGAAAATACATTTCAAGAGCCCATTGTGTGCCAGGCACTGTGCCAGGTACTGGGGATACAAAGAACAAAATAGACAAAGTCCTAGCTTCATGAAGTTTACAGTCTAAAGGTGAAGACAATCATTGAACAAATAGTCACATCGACACCTGATTACAAATGAGCACAAAAGCCATGAAAGGAGAGTATGGGGCACTATGAAAGAGTGTAATGGGAGAACCATGAAGTATTGTGGCGCTAGGAAGTCTTTCTGTGAAGTGACATTAAACCTAAGACCTGAACTGGAAATAACAAGGAAGTGTAATTGGAGTGCAGTGAGCAAGACAGAGTACATAGTTGCCTGGTGTCTTTATTATATACTATAATTGCTATCTATTGTTATATCATTGAATATAACTGCCACAGATAGCTGCTGTGGCATATACTATAGTTGTTACTATTGTTGCTATAAACTTTAGTATAGGTCCTATATACTCTTACCATAAACCATAGTCTAGTAGCATATACAGTAGTCTAATTAGTAAATGTCACTGCTCTTTGACATAAAGAGCATCACCCAGCATAGAATGGCAGCCATCTATTGCTATTAAATGCTAGCATGTACCTTCTCTGTTTTACTATTAATGCCATAGTATAGGTACTTTTATTATTAAATATAAACCCAGCAGTTGAAATCTGGGAAAACTCCCTGATTGGAGCTTTCTAGATTGAATTGGATTACAAGGCTTTCTAGATTGTATTACATGCTTCTTTAATGAGAAGGAAGGAAGGAAGGAAGGAAGGAAGGAAGGAAGGAAGGAAGGAAGGAAGGAAGGATTTTTATTTAGAACTAACAATGTGCCTAGAAGTGTACTTTAAATACATTATCTCACAAAAGCCTTATAATACTTTAGCATCTCCATTTACTGAGAAAAATGAAGTTTAGTGAGGCCATGTAAATTACCCAAGGTCATATGGCAAGTAGATGGCAGAGCACAACTTGAAATTTGACCTGACACCCAAGTCCATGTCCTTAACCAGTGTGACCTTCACTCCCTCCAAAGCCCCTGCCTTCCCTTCTCACACTGCAGGGAACTGGTCTGTTGGCTGTCTCTCCAGTCAGCAGAGCCAGATGCCTCAGGGCAGGCCAGTCTTTTGTTCTGCTCACAGGGTCTGGGACTCTGGCTGGTCATAGGGCAGGTGTGGGAAAGTGGGGCTAAGCACAGGCCAGCTCAGGCAGACCCGCACCCCTGTCCGCTCCTCACAGACCACAGACCGAAGACAGATCATTTAACTTCTCTGAGGTTTGAGAGAGGGAGATGTTGAGAGAATGAAAGTTAAAGAGCATGAGAGAGAGGCAGAGAGACCTGGCCACCTGCCTTCTGACCTGCTTCTAGCAATTTGATCATTCCCTGTGAGGTCTGGCTCTGTTTACAGCCTAGAATTCTGAAAACCAACTTTTCTTTCCCACTCCCTCCCTCCCTCCCTCCCTAGTTTGGGGAATATGAAAAAAAATAATTTGAGTATATTTTTATTATTTGCAAAATAGAAAATCCTTAACAAAGTCTCTCTTTCACAGAGTTGTTGTGAGGTTTAAACAAGATCAGTGTGAATGCTTGACAGGTCACTGGGTCGGCAAGCAGAATTCTTAGTATTACATAAACCCCAATACTGATGTGGGCGGACGGGTGGTGGTGGTGATGGTGGTGAACCCCCTTCCAACTACCTTTTGGAAATGCTAACTAGTATATTCCCCTCCTGATATTCCCTATGTTTATCAGCATATTCAAAATTCTTAAAAAGTCTTATTGTAAAAGGACATGCTTAACTTTGCTTAACTCTGTGTTTCCCAGACTTATTTGAACCCTGAATTATTTTTTCCTTCATAATACCCTGGCAAGTCCTGCCAAACCATGGAAATATTGCTGGAGAGAGTAGTGTGGCTCTGGGAGGGGCTGGCCTAGGGGACCTCTAAGGCACCTTGAAGCTCTTGATTCTGAGACTTTATTATTATTTTTCATATTCTCCAAAGCTTTCATAGTGAATTCTCATGATTGATAGGCTCTTTGTTGCACTCAGAGCTGTTTTAGCAACAGGATTAATGCCTGTGGTTAGAGATGTTCTCTAACTCTCATAATGAGAATCATATTCTCAATAGAAAAATGCTGGGGGTTGAAATTTCAGTGTGAAACCATTTCTGAGGGTTGGAGCTCTTTTATCCTGAAGTCCTCAAATGACAAAATCTAGAGCTTGAAGACATGTAGAAGGCATCTAACCCCTCATCCCCACCCCACTGGCCATCTGAAGCCCAGAGAGGGAAGCCATTTTGGCCAAGGTCACAGACCTCTTTCCAGCTAGTCCTTCTCCAGACAGCAGATGATGACATAAATAAGTGTGTGGAGTGGCAGTACTGACCTCTCTCTCACTGCTGCTCTCATAATTAAACAAAAATGTTAACATAAATCAAATGGTCTTTCCATTATCACCAACAGTGCATTCTATCCAGGGAAGGTGGAAGGCATTACTCTCAGGCCTGCAGCAGCCACAAAACCTGCAAATGCTAACGAATCATCACTTCAGCCAATTAAGAGTAGAAGAAAAACTGTCTTTAATGAAGGCTTCATGCATCCCATGGGCTCTCTCTAATTCATACCCAGGGGTACCAGGAAGGCCCTCTGGATCCAATTGTCATGCTCTCAGAAAATTGGTAGTAAACCAATTCTGTGTAAAATGAGCCTGACTGAGTCTGGAAACTAGTTCTGGTCTGAGCTCAACCACTGACCTTGGGCAAGTCCTGTCTCACCTGTGGGCCTCAGTTTCATCAGTAGAATCATCCCTCTCATTCTTTCATATTCATCAAACACTTTATGAGCATGCTAAAAAAGTATTCAGAAAGCACTGCTGCTGGGCACTGAGGCACAAAGATCTAATTATTAAGTTTTAGTCCTTGCCCTCTGGTGGCGTTCAGTCCAGTGGGGGCCATGCAGTGGGACAAGACTTGCTCAATAACTAGGCCTGTTTGGAGCTCAGAGAAAGGAGTGGCCTGTTCTATTTTGGGTTTGGGGGGATGTTTTTCAGAAAAAGGAATATTACCTAAGTTGCAAAGAGAGTTAGTGAGATGAAGAAGGAATGAGGAAGTTCTGAGCAGAGGGGGCCTGTATGAAAGATAAGGTAGCAGGAACCAGCATGACATGTCAAAGGAGCTACTAGGTCTTCTCTTCTGATTCCTGGTCCAGTGTGCTGTCCAGAAAACCCCAGCAAGTGACCTGGGATGGCTGTGCATGAAATAGCCGAAGCTCACTAACTACATTCTTGAGAGCCAGGATGAAACTTCCTTTAATGAACTCATGGGTAGCCTCAAAATTCTTTCTCAGAAACATCCCATCTTTCTGCTTGCTTCTATACCACCATCTTGTGACTGCCTGCTTCCAAGTATTTTCCCCAGTCCCTCACCTGTAATTGCCCAGGTAGACTCCATCAGGGTTGAGCATTGGTGCAATCTTGAAGACCAGGTGATCCCGGAGGACGCGGGCAATAGGGTGCTGGCTCACGAGGAAGTCAATGATCCCTGGGGAAACAGAAGCATCCGGTTTAATCTTCAAGTGTTTCAAGAAGGAGAAAAAGGAGAAAACACATTTTTCTTAACTTGGAAAACAATAAGAGCTCAATAGGTGATTTGGGCCTGGGTTATTATTGGACACTATGGATATATATCTATGTTGCTGTGGACTAGGTGTTACCCAGTGAATTTTACAAACACATTTCTGTTTCCAAGAGACAGACAGTTCAAGACATAACACTGACAGCCCACAGGCAGGAGAAAGTTGAGCCTGACTGAGAAAGAGAGCATTTCCTACCATAGAGAACCAGGAGGGCTTCCAAGAAAAGTGGCATTTGAGTTGTGCCTTGGAAGACCCACCTGGTTTCATCAGGCAGAGGTGGGGGAGAGATGGGCTAAGTCTAACAGTATATTAAGAGATGCTTTCCAATGGACACGCTATCAGCTAAACATCGACATCAGATCTGATGATCGTAGTGTCCAGAACCTTAGGGATCTAAATCCTCATGTTGCTGATAAGCAAACCAAGAAGCAGAGAGGAGAGGTGATTTGGCAAAAGTCCCTCAAAAAAAAAAAAAAGGAGGGCTCTTTAATGTCCTCCAGCTCTGCTCCTTTTTTCATTTTGAGGATCCTCCGGTCTGAGACTTCTGGGCCAACTGCCCTCTCTGCTTCTCACTGGCACTAAAACCACACCACCTCCAGGTCACCAAAGTTAGAAAATTTGAATTCTCCATAACTTTCTTACCACCGCCAGGCTGTTCCCATGTGCCTTCCTTGAAGTGAGCAGATCTGCCCCTTTCTCCATCCCTCTGCCTATATTCTAATCCAGACTATCATCACATCTGGCTGGAATGCCAGATACCACCTCTGGATGTGCCCGCACCACTGCTGCAGCCAGAAGCATTTCTCAAAAGTACAAATCTGATCCTGTCACAGCCTCCTTGACATCCGCCTAGAGACAGCCTGCATCTGCATCTAAATGATAGGAGGTGGGTGAGAAACAACTCGGGGCCTTGTCCTTTCCCTCCTCTTCTCCACATTTCTATTTCATCAGAGACCTGAAAACAATGAACAAGATGGCACTCTGGTACTCCATGAAATTATCCTAATGCCAGAAAGTGTTAGGAGAATGCAAAACCCTCCCGAGATACAGAAGTAGAACCCCTCTCCTGCTGGAGAGAACAAGAAAAGCATCAAGAAGAAAGATTTTGAGCTGGCCCTGACAGAAAGGCCGGTTTAGAGGGAGGCAGCAGTGGGAGGGAGGCAGCAGGGTAGCTAAGAGCAGTCTTTGTGTCCAGTGGCAGGCACTTAGCTCTTGGAATGATAACTTGCTCCACAGCACATTCCAAAGCTGCTGTGACCAGTGAGGGACATCTCAGGCTTTTCATTAGGCCAGGGCTGAGAATCCATAGGCAGCCGAAAGCCAGTTGGACATCATTTACTTCTCGGCTAATGCTGCAGTGGACCAGATGCCCTAATTTATTTGTTGGTCTTCATATTAAAGCCGCAGTTTGCCAGTAAACAGGCAGGGTAATGATGCCAGGCGCCCTTGTTAGGGGCTAATAATTGCTTAATCTGTCCACTAATTGACCCCGGCTCCCAGGGCGGCCCTCCATCAAGGAGCCAGCCTGTACTCAGGGCCTGGCTATGCTGCCTCAGAGAATGGTTTCTGGAAATGGAGTACCTCATTGTGATCCATCCTCCTTCACAGATGAACAGATTAATTGGGCTGCCAATTAGGCGGCTAATAAAAGAATGAGAGGAAACAAAGCCAGACCAGAGGCTGCAGCCACCCAGAGCTCCCTCCCCCAGGGTGGGTGTAGGAAAAGGGGAAGAGAGGCTTTAAATTCATCTCTTGGCTTGAGGTCAGAGACAATTCAACAAGAATCATTCCCATGGAATAAGGAATAGGGAAAGAATCTTTCCAATATTTTTAGTGGGGGGGAGGGGAGGGTACTAAGTGGAGAATATGAGGAACAATGTAGAAGGCAAGCGTAGAGAGCAAATGCCATCCCTGGCCATAAACCAAAAGTATTGCATGGACCAAGGAAGCAGAGAGTCTTGGGACCTGCATTCGAATCTTAACTGATTATTAGCTAGAGAAGTTACTTACTGACTTTCTCTGACTCAGTTTTCTCATTTGATATTGAGTTAATAACACCTAATCTGAAAGACTACTGTGTGATTAAGGTAGAGATCCTATATTAGCTGCCTGATACATGCCCCAATAAACTCACTTGGATCAAAAGTTGAAAGGCTAGCCGGGCATGGTAGCGTGCACCTGTAGTTCCAGCTACTCGGAAGGCTGAGGTGGAAGGATCACCGGAGCCCAGCAGGTTGAGGTTGCAATGGCCGGGAGCAGCCACTGCACTCCAGTCTGGGCGACAGAGTGAGACTCCAACTCAAAAAAACAAAACAAAACAAAACAAAAGTTGAAAGGCAATGGGGTAGTTAAAAACAGGACTAATTTTGGAAGTAGGAATCCTGGTCTGTGAAGTTTACTAACAATGGGATTTGGGGATTAGGATACTGAGTTGGAGAAGCCAACAAATCAAGAGAACGTGGCTTCTGGTTATGGCCCAGTTACTGAGTGAGCTGTAGAAAGACTTTGGGTCTATGCTCATCTTTAAAATTAGGAGAAAGAACTAAGCAGTTCTCAAGAATGCATCCCACACTGACATTCTATGATCCCATCTATTTTATTCCTCTCTCCTAATGTAGAAGAGTCTTCATCTGTCAAGTGAGGAGAATAATTTGCCTCCTGCTGGGAGACACCGTCAATCCCCTTGAGATCAGTCTTTGTCCCTTCTGTAAACAAGTTTGCCAGGTCCTTTTCTTCAAGATGACTTAATCAGAAAGCTGGAAGAAAACAGGATGACAGGAAAGCTGGGAGCTAGAGAGGCTGGAGGAAGAAAAGAAAAAGTGGCAGAGGATTTTAAATTAAAGTTGAATGACAGAGATCATTGCCCTGTGCCTATCTCTGACTGGCCAGGATGAACCTAGCCAGGCAAAACACAACTGAACCTTATATTCATTGCTTTTTAAATTCCAGAATACTTGGTTTAGGGCACGGCACACAGCAGGTGCTTAATACATGCCTATTGATGGATTGGTTCCCAGAATTTATGCAACCTTGACAAAGCATGAGGTTAATTGAACTCTACAAACATTCATTATCCCACCAAATGGTGGACACTCCAAGATGAACAAGATGGTCCTGCCTCACGGCGAGCACAGGAAGAAAGCAATTCCTCAGTGACTGGCAGAGGCTCTGATGGGACAAGCACAGAGCTGTGAGAACCCAGCAGGGGTCAGGTGGTCCAGAAGGGGTCCTGGAAAATGGACTTAAAGGATAAGTAGAATAAGCCAGATAGAAGGGATGTCAGGAGAAGGTGGTCCTGGCAGAGGAATTCCTGCATCAAAGCTTGGAAGTGAGAAAGATGATGTCCTATTAATGAGGGGGAGCTTTTCAACACCAGGGGTTTGGTTTCATGGTTAAAAGCACAGACTCTGAAACTGGACTATCCAGGTTTGATTCCTCTCTGCCATTCATTTGCTATGTGGCCTTAACTTCTCAGTTCCTCGGTTTCCTCATCAGTTACAAAGAGGAGAACAATAATTACTTGTGATTTATTGTGAGAATTTAAATAAGTTGTTATAAGTAAAATGTCTGGCACATATTAAGTGTATACATGCGTTGTTTAAATCGTCGTTTATCCTCGGTTTGTGTGAAAGGAGTGGAGAAGGTAAAGGTGAATAGAGACTTGCTAATCCAGCTGAAAAACCTGAAGGACCCTGGGGAGCCATTGCCAGGTTTTAAACCAGGAAGGTACAGGGTTAGATCTGAACTTAAAGAGCTCCCCTGGCTGCAGCATAGAACACTGGAGTATACTGGAGGGCAGGGCAGAGGTGGTGGTAGGGAGCGGGCATAGCAGAGAGAGCTGGCTTTCAGGCAGGAACCAGGGTCAGACATGGTAGTGACTTGCAAGGGATCTGCGGTGACCAAGACCTAGTGATTCATGAAAAAGGAATGGGTAGAGGGGAAGCAGTTCAGATAGATGGTGACACCAGTGATAAAGATTATTTGTCAGCTAACCACAAGGGCATCAGAACTCTTTGCTGAAATCATACAACCTTGAGAAAAATGACTGTGATTAAATTTCTGGCCCCTGGAAGAATGGGGTCACAAAACAGAAACTGAATTCAGTTATAGAAAAATAAAGTTACATTTCCTGCACTTTGAGTTTTTTAGGATTCAGGCTTGTATCTGCTGTTCTGGTCTGTCTTCCATCCAGACCATGGGCTCCAGGACAGTAGGGACAGGTCTATTTCATTTCTACTATATTCTCAGTGCCTAGCATAGGGAAAGTACTTAGTAGCTGTGTGTGAAGTGACTGAGTAATGACAGACCCACAGCCTCAATGGTACATTCATTAGCTGGGCTGACTTGTATTTCTATTAGCTCCATTTCACAGAGAGAGAAACAAAGTCAAGGTGTGACATCACTTGCTGAGTGCCTCACAGGGGCCCACATGGGATTGAGACCTGATTCTGTTGCTTCAGAGCAGTGCTCTTTCCATTAAGACAAGATGTGAAGAGCCAGAAGTCTATTTGCATGTGATTTGCATATGCTTGCATGATTTTCTCTCTAGAGAGTTCTGTGCAGTTTATTGTTTTTGTTCTCTGCTCAGAGGCAGGATACTATAGCAGGGCAAGACAGTTTGAGATCTCCGCTGGGCCCAGAGTGTGGTTTGCACCACGGCAGCCACTCCAGGCCCTCCCCTGACCTGGCACCAGACCCCAGTCTGCCCTCAGCTGAGTCCAAGGGCCTCAGGTTACGGACTCACAGGAAGTCTGGCCCTGAAGAGCCTGAAGTTCACAGAGTGTAAGTCCACCCTCCTGCCCCAACTCTGCCTCTTTCACAAATGAAGAGGCAGAAGCCTAAAGAAATGAAAGGCCCCATTGCAATCCCAGAGGATCTAGCATCACACTTATAATGGGAGGTCTAT